TCTGATGCACGACGCGATGCATTCAGTAACTATGTGCGATGGTGTTTCGCCATCCTCCAAGCACCATCTGCAGATAGGATCATCCTTGAATCCCTATGAGCTCCAGGTGTCTCTTGAGGTGGATGTCAAGTAAGGAGCCCAACTACCATCTTGAGATCTCTTCTGTTAAGTGACAGGACCACTCTCATTAGCCTTTTTGAATGTTCATTCATATGAAGCATTGATTGTCTCGCATTTCTGGTTAGTCCCGCCATGTTTCGAGGAACTGCCTCTGTAGCATTTCCTTCATGAAGGACATTACCATGCTATTGGGTATCCCCACTATCGGTTCTGGTCCGATAGGTGTCGTTCCTGAACCGATCTTAGCCAGTCTGTCTGCCTCTTCGTTCCCCAGGATAACTGAGTGTCCTGGGACCCACATGAGGGTGACTTCCCTAGTTTTTGTCATATTTTCCAAGGCACTTATACACTTGGAAAGCAATTTAGTTGTGATCCTGTTAGATCTCAATGCTATAATAGCAGCTCTCACAGGTTATTTATTATGTGCCACTATTATGCAATAGAGAGAAAAAACTGAAGAGTTGAACAAGTGTAATAATATTGAGAGTACATTCAAACTAATCAAGCAATCAACATATATTTTCACCTAGAACAATGATGGTTAGTACTCACGTATATTTCATTTGGTTTGATTCTTACATTTTGCCTTAATCTTTACTGGAAATCATAGAATCCCAAACGGATGCAACACACATGATCTTACACTCATGGACACGAATGAACAGAACACGAACTGAATCGAACCTTCTCGAAGCAGAAGTCGAACAATAGGCTTGTTCGCGTTCAAAATATAAACAGTCCGAAACCATCAGGAGCATGCGCAATTTCACAGAACAGTACTAATTTTCGGACTGTTTATTTTTCGAACAAACCTAGTGAAGGTTACATATTCAACAGTCTGTGTACTTCGTATTCACAGTGAACTATTTTCTCTGTCCTTACTGGTATGAAATCAAATAGTGAATACATCATTTTTTCCAAGCATATTAGTTGTTATAATTACAAGAGAGTATTGAATCGATTGAACAAAATCATCTTGGTGAAGGAAAAATTGTCAGATGCACATGCATTTCACTATAGGACAATTTTTCTCGATTTACAGAAAAATCGATGTTACATGAATTATTGTCATTTATCATAATTGATATAAATTTCCTTTCAATATCTGTATCTCATGGAGCAATGTACTGAATACAATACAAATTCTATATTTATAGTTTCAAGAATCTTGTGTCTGATATAGATCTGAATAATTTACAAGGATAATACACACGGTGCACATACTGAATTCGCAGAGCACACATTCGATTAAACCAAACTACAAACAAACTCAATCTACGCCAATGACGTGTCGTGACGAACTCATTTCCTGGCTGAAATTTCCACCGAAACTTTCCTTCTGATTTCCAGCAAATGTGCTCGAATCTCACCTATCCGATTGATGGCGGCCTGTCAAAACGGCACGGCCTTTCGAACGGTGCCCTGAATTCTGACTCAATTTTTTATTTCTTTCACCTGTATTGAGATGTTCGGATGTTTTTTCCTGAAGTTCGTTGACATGCGAGCGTTACCAAAATCATGTATCTATTTGAACTCAATAAATTGGAACAAGGCAACAAACTTCATGAAATAATTATCAGCATAATATAACATTCCAAATATTAACAAAATAGGTACCTATTCATAATAACAATAGCATTGTTCCTCAGTTTTTTTGATGTTCTGGTTCCCACGACAAGGGATATCCTGTAATGTTAAGAGAACATCGTGAGGACCAAAGGAAATAAGGTAGGAATTGGTGTTCTTTTTAAATTTCTGAATGTTATATGCCTCGGGGAACACCTTCCTTGGCAATGTGTTCCAGAGCCTCGCTGTTCGTTGGATGAACGGGTCTTTGGAAAGACATGTTCTGCAGGTCTCCAAAGTGACCACGAAGGGGTGTGGAGCCTAAACTCGACGGGTTAATCTCGCGGGGACTGCCAAGGGAGGAACAATTGTTGATATTTCAGGAGAGCATCGTCCATGAAATTATCTATAAAATAGAGCCAGGTCTCCAACTTCTCTACGGTGTTCCAGAGAAGTGAGTGAGTTTGTGAGCGAGGCACCACCCACGAGATGAATTGCCCTTTTTTGGACAGAATCCAACAGTTTCAGGGTATGTTTGGGTGCTGCACTCCAAATATGGAAACAGTGGGCACAGTGAGATTGGCTTCTCTAGAGAAAAAGCATGCTTGTGTATTATTTGTATTGAAATCTACCAAGTTATTGGATCCCCATCAGAGAATTATTGCCAGGTCCATATTTATGTTGTCAATATTTCTCCCTCGTTCGTCTTTGATTTGCCTGGCTGGTATTGGAGCCCTGGACGAAAAGGCGGTATGGAGGGTACTATCATCCGCGAAGCTGTGTACTGTACATAAAGTTGCTTCCAACAAATTGTTGGAGTAGAAATAGTGTTGGTGCTAGAATGGATCCTTGCAGAACACCAGCATTTATGGTAAGAGAGTCAGATGAAACTCCGTCGACCACTACATGGAGAGACCTGTTCGAGAGAAAACTAGCTAGCAGAGAACATAGCTGGGGAGGCAAGCCATAAGGTGGAAGCTTGACGAGGAGTCCGTGGTGCCAGACTCGATCGAATGCCTTGGAGATATCAAGTTGTCAATTATTTTTCATAATTCCGATTAAGTATCTCTAAATTCCGACATAGTATCTCATAGTTGATAAATTCCGACTTAGTATATCAGAATTATCCCGACTTAGTAGGTCGGAATTATGAAAAATAATTGCGATGGCCCTTCAACGCTCTCGTAACAAAGAAAAGTGAACCTAAAAAAATACTGATATGTGATATCTATCTTATTAAACCACTGGAGGTTCACAAATAACCTACCTTTAGGACGTTGAGAAATTCATACAGAGACTGAAATTTCTAGTTACGCCAATGGAAGTAATATTCTTGTCACAAAAGGAAAACGCAATGAAACTTTGTGGAGATCTGCAGGGTCGTTTGACACGTGCTCATATAATTTCAAGAGCAAATATCGGCTGGAGCTAGTTGGAGAGAATCTGGGAGAGGCTCGTGCGGCTCTAATTAGAAGTCTAACTCCATAATTGGTCGAGCACATAATCATTGACACCTGCATTCAGACGTTTCCGAGAAACTTCTCACTTCCATAACGGAGTTTGTTCGAAACTGTAGATGTGATGAGTTTGAACGATATCGCTAAAAATAAAATATACGAACCACGATTACCGGTAGATTGATTATTTCAATAATGTTATGAAACATTCGAAACTTGCTTTGTAGAAGTGCAATGTCTTCAATTTTTCCTTATTCAAGCAAATAAATTTGTATATATGTGGTGCAATCCCAGATGGTATGATGCTTTCGAATGGCGCGGTATATGCAATGAGTTGTTCACTCTTACAATCACATTATGTTGTGTTGGTTACGGAATATCAATTTGTTTCTCAAATAGATTGGAATCAATAAACGATGAACAAAAATAAGACAATGATATTTCCACATGAAATCAATATTCAGTCAGCTGAGTGCACGAAAACAGTGACTGATTTGATCATTTAATCATCATAATTCACTCCTGGAAGCAAACTAGAGCCTCAACAAAGGGGCAGCAGCTGCGGCAGTATCTTGTGATTTCTCCAAAGCTTTTGACTGCGTGAATCACGAAATATTGCTGCGGAAGCTGCAGCGATATGGTTTTATGAATAAAAGTCTGCACTGGTTCGAGACTTATCTCATCAATCGACAACAATCGGTTAAAACTAGCAGCGTCTCAAAGGCCTCAAACATAAAGCACGGAGTGCCACAAGGCTCGGTCCTTGGACCAATCCTTTTCCTTCTCTACGTGAACGATATGGTTTCTCTAAATATAAACGGTAAAATCACATTATTTGCTGATGACACAACCATCCTTTGGCAAGAAGAGAATAGCTCTATATTAGAATCAAATATAATGCAGGGTATAAAGATTATCAAAGATTGGTGTGAATCAAACCTCCTTTCTCTAAATATTAAGAAAACCAACATCCTGACTTTCCATTGCAATATTCCTAACTTGAATATTGGATGTGAGGTGTTAGAAAATAAATTGTCTACTAGGTTTCTAGGCTTATTCATAGATAATAAGTTGTTGTTTACAGAACATGTGACAGGTTTGTGTAAAAAACTGGCTTCTGGATGCTATGTTGTAAGAAACATTGCCACGGAATTAGGAGATATGAGAATGGAATAGCATTTTGGGGGCCTGCAGTGATCATTTATTCCAGAAGAGTTCTGTTTTGCAGAAACGAGCCCTCAGATATATAAGCCGGGCGAAATCTAGAGATAGCTGTAGGGACTTATTTAAAGATTATAATATTTTAACTGTGGTTTGTTTATACATATTAGAAACAGCGTCTCTAATTCAAAAAAACAAATATGCCTTACAACTTGTCTCGTCACGATACAATACAAGGTAGAATGATCAAATTAAGTTGATAAGACCCCGAACCACTATGGTCAAGAACTCGATCATTTATAATGGAATAAAAATATTCAATCACCTTCCAACTGACATCAAAGAAATATCATGTGATAAAAAGTTCCGCACTAAAGTCAAAGCACTACTCGTCCAAACTCCACTCTATAGCCTGGATGGATATTTTTCAATGGAGTTTTGATTTACTGAATAGGTATATCTTTTTTAAATTTGAAATGAAGTTAATATATTTTCAACTATAGGTAGACATAGCTCTATACTAGCTTTTGAATGTTGTTTGTTATTTGTCGTACTATTGTCGTACTTTGTGTTATTTATTTTCATGTAATTTAACAATAAGCTTTGTCAACAAGTGTGTTTTTACTCATGACAATAAAGCATATTTTGAATTTGAATTTGAATTTGAAACGATCTTATCTGTCTCTTTTGTTGCAGGTGACTATTCCCTAGAAATCTATCCAGTGATGCTTGACGATGACGCCCGATATGAGTGTCAAGTGTCTCAGGGTAAGCGAGGCGAACCAGGCATTCGCAGCCATTTTGCCAAGTTGACTGTGTTGGTACCGCCTGATCCTCCTAAAATCGTACAGGGTGATTACTTGGTCACGACAGAGGACAGAGAAATCGAGCTGGAGTGTATCAGCTATGGCGGCAAACCTGCTGCTGAAATCACGTGGATAGACGGCCTAGGTAAGAAAGAGAAGAAGTAGATCACCCGCTAACCACACTTATCAGCTCTATCACAACAAAGATCAATCTAAAGCAACTATTCATATTGAAGGACTCACATAACTGTTGGGGAACAAATTTTCATCACATGTTTTATCAACGAGATCAAATTGGCTGGAACACTATTCCATCCTCGTTTCATTACAACTTTAAGGATGCCATCAGAGAGTCCAAAACATGATAGTAAGTTATTGATGTTATCGTCTAGAATGTTTTTTTTTTCAGGTAATGTTCTGACAGATGGTATTGAGAACATTGTCGAAAAATTATCCGATGGTAGAAGATACACGGCGAAATCTATATTGAAATTGACACCTAGGAAGGTACACCACAACACAACTTTCACATGCCAGGCCCAAAACACAGCAGAACGAACGCATCGTTCTGCCAAGCTGAAATTAGAGGTTAGTGTTCGCAAATCCGTATCTGACTGTCTACTGAAATATCTTGAATAATCATACCAACAAAAAAAGAATCCAAATCTAGGCTCATGATTTTTTGTAGCTTCATTATGAAACAAACTTGAACACAGATGTTTTCTGTTATGTGGAAATAATTTTCTTGAGGTTTTTTTAGAATTCCAACCAAAAAGGATTGGCTATGAGTATCAACTTGGAGGGTTTCGTTATATTTCTTCTTCCTATTTCATATCTTAACAATATACGAAGTTTTGTTGCTTAATATTGATCGAAAACATTTCTCCTTTCATCCGATATTAAATATCGAAACCTCAGTCTCAAACTTTCCAGCAATATATTCACCAAATATTTACATCAGACAGTGAGGAAATATGGCATATATTCGAAACTTTTCGTTCCACCAACTTTGTAATATTTAATGCGTCGAAAACTTTGGCATTATATTTTTCATCATTCATCGATATCCATCTGGAATACATCTGGGAAAGAATGATCCATTTCCGATTGCATTCCGAAAAACAAAGTATGATAATAAATTTAGTCGATGGATGTATGCAAATCGACCGATTCCGCTTTTTATAGCTGTTTTATCGTCGAATATTGCTATACATTATTCATCTATCAGCGATTGTACCCAAATTTCCTTGCGTCAAAATGAAACTTTCATTCCGTCATGAATATCTGCCGAATCCTGATCACATGCGATCATATACCTTCAGTTACCGGTTACCAGCCGAGTAGTGCTTCGGATGACACTTAAAAAGCTAAGGTCCCCGTCTTCTTAACTCACACAAGTCTCTGACTTTCGAGGGTTGCTTTGCAACTAAGCTGGCGGTTAAAATAGTTATTTATGTATTAAGGGAATTATGAGGGCCTTAATTACCGATGGCAAAGTTTGCGTCCCGAGGGCCTCTGGCCCGAGGGACAGCAATTGCCTGAGGTTATTGAGGCTCAGTAATTCCCGTGATACATAGATAATTTTATTTCTGACTGATTTCATTCATTAGATACCTTCCCGATTGGAAGTTAGACATGTTTTTCCGTATAGTTTCAATGTCATCAGAACGTCAGATGATGATCTTGACTACCGCGAATAGGAGATTCCTTATTGCTACGTTACTGCGTGGTTGTTGCTATGCATTTCTTATTTAATTTTAGTTAGAGGGAATTATAGCATCTATAACATCCCAAGGGAGTTATGACTCTCATAATAGATATCGTAACTATAACGATATAAGCTTATAATGTCACTGTCAGAAATAAACACTTTAAAAACACTTTTTTTTTTTTATAAGAAATACTGTTTCCAAGTCATCATATACATATTTGTGGAAAATTATAAACGAAACTCTATGAAATCTTCTGAATAAGCAGTGTCATGAATTGCGGGAAAATATTTTAGTAATTGAGTAATTGTGAATTATACTCAATGATAGCCACAAATAACTAGTCATGTCACAAGGTTCTAAGTGCACATGACCTCTCTATATGAAACGATTGAAACGACAAAGAGGCTGTTATAGCATCCTCCATTTTCAGTAAATTTTGTCTCTAAATATGTATTTTCATGTCACACCTTCATATTCAGGATTCATTCAACCGTAATCTGATAACTAGATAATCCCCAACGTTTTCATTAGCAAACATTTTTCAAAATGGGGCGTTTTCTACTAACCAGCCCAGAAATGCGCTAATTGGATGGGATATTGATAAGTAATTATCACCACTTCGTTTTTAGGTTCAATTGTAAGATGATTAAATAAAAATATTGAAAGAAGCAGATGATTTATCCTACAAAAATGTTTGATATCATTTCATGAAAATAACGACTTGATGATAATGTATCATCAATTAGCAGATTTTTTGAGTGTTGATCAATACATAGTTCTGAAATGACATAGTGCAATGGGCGTGTACACCTTAGTAGAACTTTTAACTCAAACCATGTTTATAATGATCTTTTTATACATAAATAATGATTAACGACATAATTCGATCGAAAAAGTAAGTGGAATGTTTTATTTTTGGACATAAATAATAGTACCTTCTGAAAACGGACCCTCTTATGACGTAGAAACCTCATCTCGCCATATAGTTAAAGGAAAATACCAAACGCCCGACGGACACTGAGGCAACTGATATATTAATTCTTTGAACTGTGATCTCGCGCTAATTCACTGTGTCAGAAAGCATTCATATCTGTCTGGAATAGTCTTGTTTCAGTATTAGGGTTTTGACGTCACATCATCGCCTCGTTTTCAGTGGTTCGAAAAATTTGGGATTTCAATAATTTTTTACAAAACGTAGGGATCTCACAGCAAGAAACAGTTTGCGGTGGTGAGCTAGTTTGGGTGAGTTCTATCGAATTATGAAATAAATTTTTTTGTGATATAAGCCCATTGTCCCACAAAATTTGTGGTCTATATAATCAAGCCGAAGATTTTAAATTGTGCAGGGTTATCATATTACCGACAATTTCAGATCGTCAGAGGATAACCACAAATATTGAATTAACATCATCGTGATTTTAAAAATATTCATTGACAATTTTGGTGAAATCGACTGGTTGGTTATGAATTACTATTCAGTCGTTATTTAGACAACTTTCAGGTGATATGCCCCCCACATTTCCATCGGAAAAATATGTCTTCTAAATAATCATCTCACAAAAATTGTGTCTGTAAACAAAGGGATTCGATAACATTGATATGATTGTCATCAAATTGACTTTCGTCCAAAAATAGACTTGTTGAGAGAGTAGGTACTTCTTTGAGAAAGCATTGAACACTGAGCTTGGCCTCACTGAAACAAAAACCTACTAACTACAATTCACCGACAACTAATAGGCAGGCATTGAGAAAACCGAATATGATGGTGATAGCTGAATCCTCAAAAAAATAAGTTTCTACTTTTACAGCGTTGAAAACATTCCAACATTTCAAGTACCACTGCGTTTTCCTAATGCTTTCCAAATCTATTGTTATTGTATAATTAAATTGGAGATAATGATTCCTATACCACTTCTGGTTAGAATAACACAGTATGAGTAAAAAAAGTATTGACCACAAGTCATTCCGATTCTCATATGATGAATGTAATTGAACTTGTGTTCCAGGTTAAGTACGCGCCCAAGGTATCTGTCAAAATAATCTCCGGTCTGAGCAGCAACGGTCGTATCCCTGAAGGTTCCGAAGTGAGGTTAGGCTGCAAATCGGACGCCAATCCCTCAGAAGTCACCTACAGGTGGTTTCTGAATGACGAACCCCTGGTAGGCGACTACACCACCGAATTGGTCCTCCACAACGTCACCAGGAAACATCACGACTCCATTGTCAAATGCGAAGTTCAAAATGCAGTCGGGAAGAGCGAGGAGAGTCAAACGTTGGACATCAGCTGTAAGTCCAATTTTGCAACTCAATAATTTCCTGAGTGCTCGCAATAGTATCAGGGGTAATACCATGAGTGCTCATCATCATCAGCATCATCATTTTTATTACTCCATAATCTATTATACAATAGATTGAATTCGTCCAAAAGTTATATTCCAACATACATATAACAATGAGTAACAAACAAATAACAATAAATAAGATGAACAAAACGTATACATATACATACATCAGAGGTTAACGGACAACATAAAATTTGTACAAGTCATTGAAACCAATCATAAATAGCATGAATATCAAATCATATCAATATTTGTCAAATAATCCCCAAATTCATATTTGAAAGTAAGTAGGTACATACCTGAGTCACTCACATATAGTTTTCATTTTGAAATTTGGTAATTTCTCCGATTTCTCATCGGAATTCCTTCTGCAATAGGAGGTAATAGAAATACTCGTGAAATTTCTAAAAGAATGCAAGAAGATTGGATTCATGCAATCAAACGGGAGGACTGGTCTGACATGCTGACGAAATATGATCGTGTGTGTTGTAGACATTTTCAATCTATTAGCAGTATTATAGCTTCTATTGCAGAAGTGGCAGAAGGAATTTGAATAAGAAATGACAAAATGTCATAATGAAACCTATGTGAGATTACTATTTACCTGAAAAGTCATATTCCTTCGTCTCTCGCTGCATTTTAAATGTATTGTACAACAGCACAATGAGAAGGCATACTTGAATTAATGAATAGCGCAAAAAACACGATTAGTATGCCAAAATATTCCAGTCTACAACATTTCATCACCCAGTATATGGATGTTTCCATATATCCAATTGCATATAGCCTGCATTGCCTCTGTTCTAGAGTTATTAAGAACGTGCCGCCATCGGCAAGAATATCATACTTAGAATTGTAACTGCAGGATTATCATCTTGATTTTTCTCAAGAACCTTTTATGCAGAGATTGTTATTCCATACTTTGAAGACTCAACACGCTCCTAGAGCAACACATGCATGGTTTACTTGGTTTGAATAAATAGTTTTATTAATATCAACCCTAGACCATCATTCATAATTTGTATCTTCTTTCAAAAAATGCTTGAAATCATTTCTCATCAAGTGTTCCTAGTCGATAATTGACCATCCAACTACCTTATTTATTTATTTTTCGTAGATGGTCCACATTTTCGAACAAGACCACGTTCGGTTCAGGCTGATCAAGGATCAAGCGTGACTCTGAGTTGTGACGTCGACGGGAACCCGTCTCCCGATATTTCTTGGTATCATGGAGATCAGAAGAAGATCGTCAGCACCAGCCCGAATTTGACACTGAGGATAGACCAGAATTCTGCGGGCAGGTACTACTGCTATGCGAGAGTACTGGGCTTTCCTGAAATTGAAGCTGAAGCCGCTATCTACCTTAAAGGTACGTTTTTCATTTCTTGAGCCTCAAGCTTAACTCTATGAAAAATAAATATCACATGTCTATCATCAATGTCACGGTACCTGACATTCTATTTTATCATTATTTATTGCATTGCTGCGATATCTAACGAGTTGCAACGTGATATACAATGCAAATACACGTCCAATTGGTCAGTAGTAACGGTAATTCATTTGAAATGAGGGACACTGTTTGGCAAAGGGAGCTTTGCATTCTCATTAGAAGCGAGTTTTTTTATTTGCATTCGATTGCATTCGATTTGGCGTTTTCCACTAGGTTTTTCATGACACGAACAATGAATTTCATACAAAAAATTGATATCACTGGATTCAAATGAAGAGAATAAATTCAATATTTTAGCGCATATATGTATATGGACTACAAAATACGGTGATTTGAGGTTAATTTTAGGTTGCGACTCAATGTCTCACTATCAGAAGAAATAGATAAACGATAGAAAAAATTTTAAAAGAGGTTCTTGAATGGTATCGATTACCTAAGGTCTATTTTAAGCCTAATTTTCAGGAGTACCTATTTTACCATAAACATTTCACTATTAAAAGGTGAATGAGAGGTGAATAAAAAGTGAATAAAAGTACAATGCTAGGACGATTTTTTTCATTAAAGATGAATATCTGCGGCGACCAGAATGTACACCTTCATTTTTTCCTTTCTGGAGAAGGAGAAGCACCAAAGGCAAATCTGAAAAGACAATATTATGATGTAGCTCTTGAGTTCAAAAATTATTCGCACTCGTAGTTAGTTTTTACCTTCAAAATGTTTTTTTTTGTACCTTATCAAGATTGTCATTCTTCTTTTTACTTTCTGTTCCAGTGTTTTCACTTTTCTTTGCAATAGAATAGGCCTTCTCGAATGAAACAGTTTGTGGGTTTCACTATCAATAAACTTTGATACTTACATGGGAGCTGGAAGTTGTAAGCAAATCATTGTCCTTATATAGAATCCAAGTTTTCATGTAGGTACAAGGAACAAAACATATTGAAAATCTAGCTACGAATGCTATGATGGAATATATTCACCATTCCTCCACAGAGGGTTGCCAGAGATATTGTGAATAGACTCAAAGGAGAGTTTGAAGCTTCAGAATATTATTCGAATAAAGATACAGGATCCAAGCTACTGTTTTTTTTTTTTTTTTTTCGTGAATTCTGAATAGAGATGTTCTCAGAGGTTCTCTTCTGCCGCGTTCGAGTTTTCATAATTTGTGAACCTTTCTGAAACAGTCCTAGGATTCGAAACGCCTGCGCACGAGTTCTACGCAGTTCGAGAACGATTCTTGAACAGTTCTGAAATCGGAACCCGAATGAACTTTGTGGTGATAGTTCGAACCCGAATGACCCTACTGAGTTCATTGGTGGTGTATATGTATTTCAAAACAAACATGATTTCATAGTTAATAAGAATATTCACGATATCAATACTAGAAGTAAAAACTTATTTCATATACCATATGCCAAATATAAAATAACTTCTGTTGCTCCAAACCATATAGGACCAAAAATGTTTAATCATCTACCTGATGTTTTAAAAAATATTGTATCCATTTTCTTGTTCAAACGAAAACTAAGATGTTTCTTACTTGAAAAATGCTTTTATAGTGTAGGAGAATTTTTCTCCTCTTGAGTCTTTTGACTTTGACATTGACTATTCCTATATAATACTTGAATTATCCAAAGGAAAATAAATGATTATTATTATTATTATTGTTTTCAGGTCCTCCGTCGATTGTAAGCCACCGCACCCAATTCGGCATCGAGGGCGACAACGTTCGCGTCGAATGCACCGCCTTCTCGATCCCCGCTCCGGAGCGCGTCGTGTGGACCTTCAACGGACACGAGGTGGACCTGCACGACCAGGACTACTCCATCCTGGAGGACTCCCTGCCGGAGGGCATCAAGTCGACGCTGATCATCAGGGAGTCGCAGGAGAGGCACTTCGGGATGTACAATTGCAGCGTGTCGAATCCCTATGGCAGTGACGTGGTGGAGATCAGTCTGATGCCACAAAGTGAGTATAGTGAGTATTATACCAGCTGCCTCTGGGGTTCCTTAGGAAAGCAACTTATTGGGGACCCTTTTATTCAATACAGAATCATAAGGAACTGTACCTGTACAGGGTGTCCCAAACTGGATGCGTTCTTATGGGAACACCCCTTATTTGAAGAGATGGAAAAAAATTAACCTAGGTGTCCGGAGCTTAAATTCAATAAGAAGACCATTGGCGCAAACGAGACTTTGCTATCTCTCATCGTTTGGCCGCCAGAGGGCTTTTCTCGAAATTCGTTGATTTCTTCAATGCCCCATAACTTTTTTATTAATGAAGATAATTCATTTTGGTAAAAACATTCTCGAAACACTTTTTTCCATAGAATCTATTGAGATGAGAAGTTTTTCTACAGGGCGTTCAGATTGCTGTGCACCATCCCAAACTCTGTTTTTTTAAATGGACCACCCTATATATTATGATATTTTTGAGAAGCTCGTAAAATTTTCTGAATTTTGGTGTATCACTCGTCATGTTTATCTCAGAAACCATCAGCAACATTACGATTTAAAAATTAAAATATTGTGCCTACAGGAATCAAGATTGCCCTGACTAATGAAATGACAAAGATGCTAACATGTTATGATTAAAACTACAGATCTAAAGTTTCATGATTAAATTACTCATGGTTATCATAATGAATTCATAATTATTTAAAATACAAAGGACAACAACAACAAACCAACAATATTACACTAACACTAAATCCTAACATAAAATTATATGGAACTTAATCAACGATATTGAATAAACATAAACACAAACATAATGAAATTATGTCAGCAAATGTTCAAATTGTCCCCCATTTTGTTAATGGCAAATTCTACATCTTTTGGTAACAGCATTAACTGCATTAATGAGTTGTATATTTAGAACTCGGTTAAACGCACCTCGCAACACCCTTTCTAATTCTTCCCGGCTATTAAAATTATTATTTCTATAAGTTAAGTCTCTAATTCTACCCCAAAGAAAAAAATCTAAGGGCGTCAGGTCCGGTGACCGGGCAGGCCATTGTATGGGCCCTTGATTTCCCATCCACTTCTCACCGAACTGGACATTGAGGTAATCGTTGATAATCCTTGCACAATGTGCAGGGGCACCATCGTGCTGGAAAACTACTCTGGGTATCAGATTAATAGGAATATCTTCCAAGAACGGTTCAACCTGGTTCCTTAAAATATCCAAATATTCTCTAGAATTCAGCGGTCCATCATAAATATAGGGTCCAATGAATTGTCCTCTGAAAATTCCTACCCACACATTAAAACTGAATCTTCCTTGTTGTCTGTTTTGAACAGTCACATGGGGATTTTCTTGAGACCAAGTGTAATCATTAAATCGATTAAATATGCCCGCACTACTAATCGAAGCTTCGTCGGTCCAAATACAATTTATGGCGAAATCTGGTTCATTTTGTATCTTATGCAAACACCATTGACAAAAACGAGTTCTTCTATCCAAATCCCCAGGAAGAAGATGATGGATTTTGCAAGTTCGATAGGGCTTGAATTTATTCTTTTACAAAATCCGATGGATTGTGCTTCTGGGTATGCCAGTCTCTGCTTCAAGTTTTCTTGTGGAAGTTTTACCATTATTTTGATGTAAAGTTCCCAATACGGTTATAGTTTTTATTTCATTTTCATTTTGAATTTCTTCTCGTTTGCGCCAGTGGTTTCCTTATTGAATTTAAGCGCCGGACACCTAAGTTAATTTTTTTCCATCTCTTCAAATAAGGGGTGTTCCCATAAGAACGCATCCAGTTTGGGACACCCTGTACATACTCCTACCACGAATGGAGGCCCCTGAGGGGAATACCAGATGACCATCAGAAAGTGTCTTCTTCACTTATTTTCCAATATATAGGGTGAATTATGAGATTTGGCAAAAACATCTTTTGGTCATAACTTTCCAACAGCTTCTTTGATTCGTTTGATTTTTTCATAGAATATTCCGTTACTATTCTCTAATCGACTGACCTAACGAGAATCGGGGATATTCAGGATCAGGATGAAAAATTCTGATAGTTTAGTTTATAGCAAACAGTTCATTCTATATATCGTTTTTGTAAACTGTGACAGGGAATTTCCAAAGGTCACAAACAAACATGAAAAATAAAATATTCCAAATTTTCCTCACACTCTCACTGCAGTTTGAAAAAAGCTATGAGTTTTTTGAAAAAAAAAGAAAATTCTGCAAAAAAATTATTTATTTGGAAATTAATACTTCGCAACCCATGAATTTAACGAATAAAAGTGATACTTACATTTTCAATGCTTAATAGAACTCAACATATTATATTAGTTTCAGACAGACACAAAATCTCAATTGTCATCAAATTCTTCGGATGTGATTGATTTTCAGATGTTTTTGTCAGTTCGAATTGTTTTATGATTAATTACATTTTTTCGCCCTTTTATGACGCATTATAAAATTCAATGGATAGAGGTGAAATTCTCCCATATCAGTTACTGATTGCTTGCATTGAATATGGAATACATCTAGCGCACCTATGCGTGTATTTTTATATTGTATTATATTAATGTTCTGTTTCTATTTTACAGAGTCGTTTCCGATGCTGATCGTCGTTATAGGAGTAGTAGGTGCCATCATAGTCTTGATCATCGTTATAATGATCATATTTCTATGCCAGAGGCAGAGTAACAAGAAAGCACCTCCAGAAAGTGAGTAATTTTTATTTACTTATATATCTGATCTATATTTCCTCGTATACCACTACACATATCACCCAGAGAATATTTTATCGTTGGCCGGAAATCGTTTTTCAATTGATTATTCTGATTCCGTCATGCATATGTAGCTGCTGATGGATTGTCCATAGCTGATAATGGCTTTTTCCATATAGAAGTAAATAATTGCATTTTAATGTATTTTTTATTGGGAAGTTATCATTCAACTGTTCACTTCCATTAGGTATTTGAGGAATAATGCAACACCAACAAAGACCTTCTCCACTATGGCATATCAGACTTTTGTATTTTGAGGTAAACACATACTCGTTAGAATCGTTTATAAAACGTTGAATAACGGTTGGAATCGTGACATTACTGGTTGAAAACTCCAACGTTGAAAATAAAACGTTATTCTATTTTATTGAAACGACATCTCCATAATTTTCGGTTGAATAATTGCCAGAAATAACCTGTTTATAACGTTAGAAAATTGATAGATTGGAAAAACAAATTAGTGTTTGATTCAAAGTTTGAAATTTACATATTTATAACTACTGGTGTACTCATGATACATGGTTTAATCGTGGACTGATAATGTTGGGAAGACTTAGAAAATTGCTCATCTGAAAACCTTTAAGAGTAGGTAGTTGAAAACACATTTGTTTACTGGGTAAAAACAACGTGTATGTCAGCGCCATTTTGGCGTTCTCTCAACCGACCGTTGTGTTAATTTTACTACGTTATTGCAACGTAAGTGTATTCACTGGGTCAAAACAACTTGTACTCATAAATAACGTTTGAATTCTCACTATGTGTGTCTTCTTTATAAGAATTTATATTTCCTGTTGTTCAACTCTCTCAGTGGCGGATTTACCTGCAGGCTGAGTAGGCTGGATATTTAAATTTCAATATCTTGATACTGCATCGTATAATAAATTTTCTAACGTGTGGTATATAAAAAATTACTAAATCCTTCTGTAAAATACTTTTGTGACCATGAATTTTCATAATATTCAAATCAAATTCATTAATTAATTATCTATTTTGTTATTTCAAGAATCATTACTGTGGAGAACATTTATCCAAACTTGGATATAGCACTTTGCATTGCTATAATAATACAGGCTGACTGATAAAAAATCCATTACGTTGAAATTACGCCAGTCGGGCAACCAGCCACTCCCGTATGGGAACTTCAGTTTTGGAGTAATTCTTTCCTCTGTTCTACTCAGATGGCGTTACTTTCATATTGTCGATGAAAGACGCTTCGGGGGGAATATAATGCCGACTTGATTTTTGTTTGGCTAGGCTTCGCTGAGTCGGCGGTCTTAGGACTGCTTGCTGGAGACCTACACTGCACTGATGAGAGTCAAAGAGCCCGAAACCGGTCTGTGGTTGTCTAGCGTGGCCTGGCTAAATCGAAATCAATAGGCATTCAGGAAAGAATCACTCGTATCAGTATTCGTTCATACGAGTCGATGCATAGATTTCGGGAGGATGTAATTCAATGTTCTGCGTGGTATAAGCCAGGAAAGTAGTTGTTTTTCTCCCGAAATCTACCATTGTTGTTCAATTTATGAACATTGTGTGGAAATGACTTTGAGCTTTTTGTATGTATTTAGGATTAAAACACTTTCAGAACAAATCTGTTCGAAATTTCTGTTCAAATAGACAGTTCGTGTTTTGTTTTTATCCTGTCCGCTTGGTGGAAACCCGCCATATTACATAAATAGCATAACAGAACAAACATGATCCCTCTTCTCTTTCCAGCGGACGTGCATACAATGGACAAGCAGTGCAAGGACAGCGACCGCAGCTCGAACATCTCCGACCTGAAGCTGGACCTCCGCGCCGGATCGTCGCATAGCGATGTGCACCGCGACCTGGACTACGCCCCTGGTGGTGGCTCGGAGACGGGCAGCGAATCGGTGGTCACCAGGATAGGGGTGCCCCTGGCGGGGCCGGTGGGGGTCGGGCCGGACCTGTATAGGTACTCGGGCGACTACACGGAGCCCAGTTTCCCGCCCAAGGTATGTACAGGCTATATTGTCAAGAAGTACTAATGCCTATGAATTAACATCACTCCAACTCTCGTTCATTTCAAGATCTTTTATCATCAATTAACTCCTCCTAATTAAAACATTCAGTACAGTGTAGTTTCGATCAGGTCAGCGGACTTCATAGACGTCATATCCTTTATAATTTGCAAAGAAAACGCTAATACCGCAGGTAAGCGATATCGAAAGGTAACGACCGTTCCCATTGTGGAAAATTGCGAACCTATCATCGATTCCGAATATAAATAGTACCCGAATCGATAAGGAGGATCATTATTGGTTTGGTCATTATTAGTTCAATCAATTCATTATCAACACAAGGCATTATTAGTTCAATCGTACATAACACTCATTCATTGATTGCTGACTTTCAAAGTGGCACTATGCCGCAACTCAGATGGTTCTAGTAGGTTATATGGGGGTTGATGCTAGTTCACCGAAAGTCTATTCGTCGAAAGTCAATTCGTCGAAGGCAATTCGTCGAAAGTCAATTGGCCGAACGTCAGTTGGACTAAATTTGGTCAATTCGTCGAATTTCATAATATGTCACCTGATAGTCAAGTGAATAGTCTTGAATGCAGAATGGCGTGTTTCATGCAAACTGAAAAATTTAAAAAGAAGCTATACTTCGAAGGCTATATGTATGTACGAGATCCAGAGAGGAATGAAAAAACTTATTGGAGATGTGAGTTTAAGAAAACTTGCAAAGGGAGAGCACATACAATGGTTTCTGCTATAGACGGAGACGAGGTATACACGAGAGGTGAGCATTCACACCAACCAGATGCTCGTAGAAAAGAAGTTATAGGAGCATCAAATCTTCTCAGGAAAAGTGCAAGAGAAACGTTGAATCCAACAAGCCATATTGTGCAGAACATAATGAATTCTGTGACTCTTGAGACGGCTGCGATTTTACCATCAACTACATTGATGAAAAGAACCGTTCTGAGAGAGATAAGCAGGAACAAATTGCCTCTTCCAACATCGAATGATTTCGTTTTACACGATGAATACAAAACAACTTCGAGCGGTGATAATTTCCTAGTGCAGGATTTTAGAGAAAATGGCGAGAGGATATTGATTTTTGCAACACGAAAAAATTTGGAAGTACTTCAGAAAGCTCATGTATGGTTTGCAGACGGAACTTTCAAGTACCGAACATTTCCAGACAGCTTTATACGATTCATGCATATGTGAAGGGATTGTTTGTCCCATTGATATACGCACTTTTATCCAATAAGAAGAAACATACATGACTATGTTAGATATTTTGAAGCAACAAGCTGATTTTCCGAATCTACAGTCTATCATATGTGATTTTAAAATCGGAGCAATGAATGCTTTCGATGTATCATTTACGAATATTAATATTCGAGGATGTTCGTTCCATCTTTGCCAGAATGTTTATAAGAACATACAGAAAATTGGACTGCAAAGTATGTATGCCAATGACATGCAGTTCGCAATAAAAGTCAAAATGATGACGGCTCAGGCTTTCGTTCCATGTGAACATGTTATAAGATATTTCGAATGTCTTTCCGAAGTTTTTCCTCCAGAAGCTTTCGCAGTTTTAGACTACTTCGAGGATACATATATAGGTCGTTTACGAGGAAGACGACGTGAAAAACCAATTTTTGCCATTGATGTTTGGAACGTATATAAACGAGTCAAGAATGATCTGCCTAGATCGAATAATGCTCTAGAAGCATGGCATAGAAGATTTGGTAGTTTGATTTCTTGTAGTCATCCTTCCATATGGTATATACTGAATGGTATAAGAAAAGAACAACAATATTTTGAACGTAAAATAGAATAGACGTTGGCTGGAAATGACGAGAATCGTATGAAAATATAATTATGTCGATCTAGACAAGAGAGTCAAATCTGTTGTAGATGAGTTTGAAAATACTGAACCTGTCGATTACTTGAGAAGTATTGCTCATAATCTCAAATAATGAATTATTGATAAATATTTATAGAAATAATAGAATGTATCGAATCGTTGAATGATTAAACAATGAAGTGTAACAAAGCTGGCATGTTCATTAATTCTCTAATATTTCCCATAATGTAATAAAAGATGCATCAGTTTAAGGCTAGTGATGGGGATTTTACTAGGGTTCTTGACCCTTCTTCTCACTTCAGCGATGAAATAAGAAAAGAGACTCAACAATGACGGAAGTAATAATGAAAACCCGAATAATATCTTCGCTTATTCAAGAATCGAGTGAGAAATATGGATTCCCAAAAAAAAAATTCGACCAATTTAGTCCAACTGACGTATTCGGCCAATTGGCGTATTCGGCCAATTGGCGTATTCGGCCAATTGACTTTCGACGAATTGACTTCGACGAATTGACTTTCGACGAATGGACTCCTCCACCACGTGTCGCAACTCAGATGTTGACCCTCCTATAGGTCGTGACTCAGCTACTCGCTTGGCTTTTTGACGAGAGGATTTCAATCATTTCACCACCCAACCACATCCATCCCCAAATAAAGAGAATTGTTTTTCAAAAGTACAACAAACAATTTATTCAATCACGAAAACATACAAATGTGCCAAAAGGGTGGAACAGCAACAGCAAAGAACAAACATGAAACGAGCAAACAACAGAAACGAGATGATGGTTCTTGGTAGAGTCACTGGATGGTATTAGTTTGATAAGAGTTCGGACACAGAAATGACAACGGTTAGGGTTTTTGAATGTTTAGATTTATAAAGTTACACACCTTGCATTGTGACAAGAGCACCATAGTCGTCCTGCGCTTTTTCATTCAAAATTTTTTGAATTTGACAATTCATTTTATAAACGTCAGAATTGAAATAAAATTTCATAATCATTATACTCTCAAGATAAAAGCAGCTTTGGAAATCACTTGCTGTGTAATAAATTGTGCCAATTTCGAAACAAATGGATATCATTCATTCGATTTTCCAAATCAAATATCAAGCATTCGCTTATGGAAGGAAAATATGAAACGGCCTGGGTGGAAAATCAATTTGAAGATGAGCGAAATTTGTGAGATACTCATTGGAATTCACTTCTTATAATAGCATCTGATTAGAATGAATATATATTTTAGGCCCATTTTCAAAATAGAAGATTTCAAAATCTGTTTGAGAGAATCTGCTGTTCCATCAATTTACAAAGCAGACGATTTCAAGAACAAAATTCCATTATTATCATCACACAAAATACAAAATGAAATAATCATGGAAAAAGGGGAAATGATCGCAAAATTAGATTATGAAATTGAAAATTTGAAAACGAAACTAAGAAAAGCAAGTAAACTTCAACGTGATATATTATTGAATGGCGTTTTTGGTGCTGACCGAATTCAAAATTCAACAGTGAAAAGTGAATAGATATTTATGTATCAAGGGAATTATTATAAGGGCCTTAATTACGCTAGAGGTTATCGTTTGGAGATATTTTCTATATCGATCCATGTTACTTAGCTCCTAGGGCGCAGTGAAGTTGCTGAGAACTGTACAAAACCAAGTATTTGGTAGGTCTCGTCAAAATAAATTACTTTTTTCCTATGAAATCTTTATCGAAAAATGATATTTTCTCTGTATTTCAACACCCTGTATCTACGAGATGAAGCATTTCCGGACACAGGCTTATATAGACTTTATTTCTTAAAATTGTCTCAGGAATACTTCACTGGAGTACAGTTTCACATACAATAATGAATTATAGCTATAAGTTTATCCATATATAAGTATATATTCTCTGATATTAAAATGTTGTTACATGCATTTTTTTCATTTATATAATAGTTGCTCTGCTAGAAGTGTATCACTATGAATTGAAGTGGGTGTTTGTACCCTATATCCATTGTCCATCTACGGCTATGATTGATTTGACAGAAAATATAACCTCTAAAATCGTATCTGACAATCAGGTGCTACTAGGGAAATTGAAAATACAAAGAGCAGAATATGTGTCTTATTCTTTTATTCACTTAAACCATTGTATTATAGAAAATAGAAAAGGACAAAAGTTCAGCTGTGTCCGAACTCTTATCAAACTAATACCATCCAGTGACTCTAGTTCTTGGTACCTCCATTATGTTATGGGCAGCAGCACCAAAGTCGAGGAGATGTCACACCCCCAAAGTGGCATAGTGCCATGCATCGTCGCTGAATGTTGTCGAATAAAATCGTATTGATATCTGAAACAATTCCTTCCAGGACGGCCAAAACAACAACGGCTACGTCCCCTACGTGGACTACTCGCGCGACTACACCCCGCCCACGATGCAGCCGCCCATCTGCCCCGCCCTCGAGTCCGCCCACTCCGCCCGGCTGCAGCTGGCCGACCCGCCCCACCTCTCGCTCTCGGCCAACGGGGGCCTGCCGGGCGTGGATCCGCGGTTCAGCGCCGCCTACGGCAACCCGTATCTGAGGAGTGGGAGTGTGGGACTGCCCACGCCCAATACGGCCAACCCGGCGGCCACGCCTGCGCCGCCGCCCTATTCCAGGGATGGGTCCAGGTTAGTATCTGTAACATCCTCTATGTACAGGGTGATCAGTTAAGGGTAGCGAGCGGCCATATCTCTAAGATATTGGTCGTATAGATTTGAGAAAAAAAATCATGATGAAAGTTGGCAAGGGAAATTGCTGGAAATTATTTTCGAGTTTGTCAAACGTCCGCTAGAGGGCGTAACAACCAACACCAAGTAGAAAAACGGGATTTTCATAGAATTTTTGTCTAATGAAAGTATATCGATGATATCATTTTCATATTTACTGACCATTCTCTGAATTTTATGTCCGAAACGTTTTGTTCTATCTATCAAAATAAAGCGGTGGGGGAAGTTCAATTGTTTTTCTAAACAAACCAAGATTTCTCTGGTTTATTTCAACCGATTTTAGCAAACTCAGGCTCATATGAAAGAGCATAGTTTTCCCTACAAAATACTTATTTGGTTTAGAATTTTTGACTTTTGCTGTCGCCACTAGATGGCGTTTACTGAAATGTTAGCAAATTTTTTAGTTTTTTCAAAAAAAACGAATGTGATGGTATATCAATTATTATATGTTTCAAAAGAGGATACATTTCTCTATAATTAAATGAAAATAATTCATCATCTACCTTTTTTTGAACCGTTGATATTGACCAAAATATAAGCTTATTACATTAAAAAATGGCACGCCACTGTTTTTTTATCAACATTAAAATCAGTTTTGTAATCTCTCATTCGTTGCTAACAAAAAGAACCTCTTCACTTTTTTTCGTTAGACAAACGGTTTTGGATTGGAAAATAGAATAGGTTCTTGTCCTACGGCCTACTTGACAGAAGGATTATTTTCAATATCGCGGAATATAGGTCGCAATTTACCCACTCGTTAGATGGCGAAACCTGAACCAGAATTCAAAATTAGTAGAACTGATGATAATTCAAATTCCCCAAAATTACAGTTTCGTACTTTCAAATTCAATCTCATCTGATTTGAGGTTATGTTGTGAATGCTATGATATTATTATTTCTGGTGCAAGCGGTGTGTAACCGCCGTTTTCTGTTTTCTGTTATCAAAGAAATCCGTAAAAAGTTTCGCCATCTTGCGAGCAACTGAGAACTAATATTAGAGAGTTGAAGTAATCACTGTACCTACGTAGACCTCCACGTCGACGTTAACGTACGGAAAATAACGTTTACGTAGTGTCGTTAAATTGAGTTGAAGTCGCCACTTTGGTCGTCACTGTCATCATAACGTAATAATACATTTTGTTTTCGGTTTGTATTGGTCATTTTTGGTTGTGTGTTTAGATTCGAACATTTAATCCTGTCAAAATTAGAGGACTCCTTGATGCAGAACTCGTTGGTGATCTCGAATTTGATAATTTTGACTCATCGGCATATTTCGAGTATAGTTTGGTTAACGTACGTTGATATTCAAGGTATACGTGAAGGAACGTGAGATAACGTACACCCGTAAGCCCACTAACAACGCAAACGTGAAGAATTGGAAAATGCGCATGCGTAGCTGTCAATTTCTACGTTTACGTTAACGTTCATGACAACACTTCAACTCTCTATTATTGCGGAATCTGCGGTCAAGCGTTTTGGGAGAAACAAAACACTGTCTGTGATTACACCTTATATAATATTATATTCTATCCACCTTGCATCTTTGCCTGAAAAAAATCAAATTGTTGACATTTATTTTTTTTTTTTCAGGTTAGTTAGTTCTAGTGCCATGGTAACAGCAAGTGCCAATGTCGTCAACACAGTGGTGGCGAACGGTGCTAACACACAAGTGACTCGGTTACCGAACTCTCCGACGAGCCAGTACATAGTGCCGAATTCCAATATGGCGACAATCAAAAGGGGTACGATGGCGACCCACGTGTAATATAAATGTCCGGTGCGGTTAGGTGAACGATGCGAATCAAAAGTGTGGAGACAAAGACTTATTGATTGGTTGGTGCATATTCTGAATGATTTGTGATTAGTTCCAGGGTGAGATGAGCGCATTCAAAACATGTGCACCTGCATAATTTTCAAAATCACAATAAAATATTTCGACAGGGGTATACATTTCGACATCATCACACTTGGTGATGTGAAATTCAAGCCCGTACTCCCAGAGCATGTAACACGATTTTTTTGAATGATCATCCAATATTTTTCTCATTTCTACATTCTTCTTGTTAACAATGTATGAAAAAACAAGAATTGAAGGGGTAAATAGTTTTTTATGTACCAAGGACGAAACACTGTTTATTATTGTCAAGTCTGCAAATTTATAGCCGAGGCCCTAGGCGAGGCTAGCAATCAGGCCAGACAATGGACAGTTTTTCGCCGAGGTGCATATTGAATTTTTTCGTCGACCTCAAACCCTTATTCACACATCATGGTCCTATTCACACGTGAAATCTATCGGATTTCGTGAATAATTAATTTGACTACAGCAAATGACATTTGTTGTCAACTCAGTATCCGCGCGAACCAGGGTTGCCATGCAGTTCGATTTTTTATCCCATCATTGAATTCCTTGTTCAAAACTCAGTATATTTCGATAGATCTGTTTTAGATCTATTTTATGCTATAGGAATTTCAAGAAAGGATAATGAAATAAACCTAGGACATCAAAACATTATGTACTTTTAGTAAACAGAAAAGTAACCTAATTGCAACAAAATAAAAATAGAAATTATAGAGCATTAGAGCCTTATCATTGGGATCTTGTAAACTGTAAAAGATAGAGGGTCAGTTGAATGATGGCAAAGTTGCGAAATTCTATGCCTAACAAAATGCTTCCTGAAACTTGGGAAGTTTCGAATACTTTCGGAGTTATCAGACCGATATATTTCTAGAAACCTACCTAGAATGCTCTACTATGGAGGGTTGATGACTGGAGACTTGAAAACGTATTCATCAACACATGAACAACAAGATTTTGTAATATCATTAATGGATATAGTTAATGAATCATTTGTTTCCTAGTCATTTCTGTGAAGAATTATAAATAACATTCTTGACTGACATCATATAGTCAGCAATCAAAAGTGTCCAGTTTTTTCAATAATAAAGATCATTCAATTTCGTGCCAAAATGCTATAGGGAGTCAAAACTCATATTGAGGTCTGTTTAATGAACATCAACGTACAACTAAACAAAATAATCAAATTATATGCTCAGAAATCGCAACCATGAACACCCATTTGGAAAACTTGAAGTTTTTTGACATGGGGTGCTTCCACGTAATTCATTCTGAAGTTGGTTTTGATTATTATACAGGAAGGTAACTACTTACTTCATCCCTGGATACTAAACTTGTGATTTGAATGCCAATTATAGAAGAAAATCAATATTGAACAATGGATACGAGACAATGTTCAAATATCCACCAGACAATCATACGAAATCCGCACTCCCATGCAGTCTAATTGTATTGGATTTGAATTCAGTTTGAAGTGATGGTAAATTAGTGAATTTATGACGAGAAGACTGAATAATAAATATGCAAATCGAATTTTTTCAATGAATATGAAATTGTTCAACTATAGGAAAGCTGAACAAGGGGACAGACCTATTGTGAATTTTTTATACTAGACAATTAAATTAATTGACCCAATTGTTGATTAAAGATTAATCAGAAACACTTGCATATTTTTGAAAGAGGAAATAATTCGAAACCCCCAATTTGTTCACGGAATTGTGTGATTCCCAGTTCCAGAGTTTATATCTCAAATGTGCCATGTGACGAGAAAAAATAAAAAATATGCATCTGTTGCAAATCTCTCTATAAGATTGTACATATCAAAATCGGTAACCCGATTTTATTTGTAACATGTCAATTTCCAATTCGAATTCCATAAAACCATTCTGTTCTCGACAATACTTCTCTTTTCGAAAAATATTATTTCATAAGTCTATGAGCTTCCATTACCTATATGTGAGACACATCTATAAATCCAAAATATTTTTATTCTAGATGCTTCACCTATATTGTTCCTTTAACTTTTCGTCATGAAATTTTGTATGCAATCAAAGCAAACGTGTTGTTTTTTATGTAAATTGTTAACTCTATATTATAATGTTCTTGTTATAAAATTGAGGTGAATACCAAAGATATCTTTTGTATAGTAAAAATTAATGAAAAAATTGTATATTTTTGAAGAACTTCAACGATGCTACTTTATATCATTGAAAAATGGCTTATCGTTTCTTGTATTCAGTATATTTCCTCTCAACTTTTTGTACTTAATATATGTTTCGCTTTAATTTTGCGTATTTTTGTAATTATTGTATACTTGTATATTATTTTTTTTCATCTGTATATCCATTCCTCTCTTCATCAAATACTAGAGATACATCGACTTTGCGCAATTTATTTATATTCAGTGGATTATATTTTCTACACGAGCAAATGTAGGGTTGTATCGAAGTTTGGTTATGAAAAATATGAAGATAAATAGTTATTTAGCTCAAACTTGTAAATATGAATATATCTTGCAAGATAGCATTTTCTATACTATTAGAAAATACTGTTACTATTGTGTAAAAAGTTTTTTAAGTCTTGACGAATAGCAATATTTATAAAACTTTGTGATTGTAAAATAAATATGCCTACTTAATTTTTTTTTCTTCTTCTTAGCCTACCTAGGTATACCATATAACTTAATAATAATAGGGAAAAAGCCAAATACTCAAAGTGAAATGCATTGGTCACAAAGAGAGAAACTCAAAGTCATTACCACAACTAGTTCATAAAATGAACGACAATGGTAGATAACGAGAGGAAAACAACTACTTTCCTGGCTATATGCCACGCAGAACATTGCATTACATCCTCCCGAAACCTATGCGATAGTTCGTACAAACGAATAAAATCGCAAGTGTTTCCTTCCTAAACGCTGAGCTGCGCTTAAGTGGTTCAGGAACGCTGACTACCTGCAGACCGGTTTCGAGCTCTTGGCTCTCATCAGTACAGGGCTGTCCCAGATAGCTTCTTGACCGCTATCTGGTGCGAACCTGACCCAACGTAAACGCATCTCAGCATTTATACCATACGAGGCGTACGACGTCTGCGAAATGAAAACGCGAACGCCGAACGCCACCTGGCAAGGAAAGAAACACTCCAAAACAAAATCCCACTTCAGGTGAAATGGGAGTGGCTGGTTGCCCGACTGGCGTGTTTTCAACTAGGGAAAAAGCCAAATACTCAAAGTGGAATGCATTGGTCACAAAGAGAGAAACTCAAAGTCATTACCACAACTAGTTCATAAAATGAACGACAATGGTAGATAACGAGAGGAAAACAACTACTTTCCTGGCTATATGCCACGCAGAACATTGCATTACATCCTCCCGAAACCTATGCGATAGTTCGTACAAACGAATAAAATCGCAAGTGTTTCCTTCCTAAACGCTGAGCTGCGCTTAAGTGGTTCAGGAACGCTGACTACCTGCAGACCGGTTTCGAGCTCTTGGCTCTCATCAGTACAGGGCTGTCCCAGATAGCTTCTTGACCGCTATCTGGTGCGAACCTGACCCAACGTAAACGCATCTCAGCATTTATACCATACGAGGCGTACGACGTCTGCGAAATGAAAACGCGAACGCCGAACGCCACCTGGCAAGGAAAGAAACACTCCAAAACAAAATCCCACTTCAGGTGAAATGGGAGTGGCTGGTTGCCCGACTGGCGTGTTTTCAACTAGGGAAAAAGCCAAATACTCAAAGTGGAATGCATTGGTCACAAAGAGAGAAACTCAAAGTCATTACCACAACTAGTTCATAAAATGAACGACAATGGTAGATAACGAGAGGAAAACAACTACTTTCCTGGCTATATGCCACGCAGAACATTGCATTACATCCTCCCGAAACCTATGCGATAGTTCGTACAAACGAATAAAATCGCAAGTGTTTCCTTCCTAAACGCTGAGCTGCGCTTAAGTGGTTCAGGAACGCTGACTAGGAAAGAAACAATGTTTCTTTCCTTGCCAGGTGGCGTTCGGCGTTCGCGTTTTCATTTCGCAGACGTCGTACGCCTCGTATGGTATAAATGCTGAGATGCGTTTACGTTGGGTCAGGTTCGCACCAGATAGCGGTCAAGAAGCTATCTGGGACAGCCCTGTACTGATGAGAGCCAAGAGCTCGAAACCGGTCTGCAGGTAGTCAGCGTTCCTGAACCACTTAAGCGCAGCTCAGCGTTTAGGAAGGAAACACTTGCGATTTTATTCGTTTGTACGAACTATCGCATAGGTTTCGGGAGGATGTAATGCAATGTTCTGCGTGGCATATAGCCAGGAAAGTAGTTGTTTTCCTCTCGTTATCTACCATTGTCGTTCATTTTATGAACTAGTTGTGGTAATGACTTTGAGTTTCTCTCTTTGTGACCAATGCATTCCACTTTGAGTATTTGGCTTTTTCCCTAGTTGAAAACACGCCAGTCGGGCAACCAGCCACTCCCATTTCACCTGAAGTGGGATTTTGTTTTGGAGTGTTTCTTTCCTTGCCAGGTGGCGTTCGGCGTTCGCGTTTTCATTTCGCAGACGTCGTACGCCTCGTATGGTATAAATGCTGAGATGCGTTTACGTTGGGTCAGGTTCGCACCAGATAGCGGTCAAGAAGCTATCTGGGACAGCCCTGTACTGATGAGAGCCAAGAGCTCGAAACCGGTCTGCAGGTAGTCAGCGTTCCTGAACCACTTAAGCGCAGCTCAGCGTTTAGGAAGGAAACACTTGCGATTTTATTCGTTTGTACGAACTATCGCATAGGTTTCGGGAGGATGTAATGCAATGTTCTGCGTGGCATATAGCCAGGAAAGTAGTTGTTTTCCTCTCGTTATCTACCATTGTCGTTAATTTTATGAACTAGTTGTGGTAATGACTTTGAGTTTCT